CCCATAATGGGACCCACCTTCCTGGCATGGCAAGTTACCTGGTGGACCTTTGGGTGTCTTCCCACCAGCCCAGGGCCCTGAGAGTCCAGGCTGGCCTGTGGGATGTTATTTTTTTTTAATGCTGGAGTAATACATTCAATTGTGCAAATGTACCACATATTCTTTATCCCTTCTTCTGTTGAAGATTTCTAGGCTGTTTCCCATTTCTGACTATTATGAATAGTAACAATGAACATGAGTGTACATGTGTCTTTGTGGTAAAATGGAGTATGAATATGCCCAAGAGTGGAATAGCTGGATCTTGCGGTAGCAGTCTCCACCTTCCTGAGAAGCTGCCACACTGATTTCCATAGTGACTGTACAAGTTTGTACTCCCACCAGCAATGGAGGACTGTTTCCCTTGCTCCACATCTTCACCAGCATGCACTATCGATTGTTTTATTGATCTTTGCCACTCTTATAGGTATAACATGAAATCTCAAAGTAGATTTGATTTGCATTTTCCTGATGACTAAGAATATTAAACATTTTAAGTGTTTCCCATCCATTTGAGTTTCCTTTTTTGGTAAATTCTCTGTGTATGTCTGTACCCCATTTTTAAACAGCTTGTTTCATATACATATATTTAAATCTTTGGTTATATATTTGCTCACTATCAGATGTGTAGTTGGTAATATATGTTCCCACTCTGTAGGCTGCCACTTTGTCCAAATTACAGTGTCCTTTTCTGTGCAGAAGCTTCTCAATTTCACAAGGCCCCTTTTATTAATTGTTGATCTTAGTGTTTGTGTTAATGATGCTCAGAAAGTATTTTTCTGTACCATTAAGTTCAAGGCTTCCACTATGCCCCATAAGTTTGGGTTTGTTATATATTCATTTTCATTCAATTCTAGGATGTTCCTATTTCTTTATTAATTTCTGTCTTGACCCATTTTTTTTTTCATTCAGAGTGGGTTGTTCAATTTCATTGATTTTGTACACTTTTGTTGCTTCTGTTATTGTTATATGTCTTGAATCTTTGGTGGTCAGACAGTATACAGTGTGTTATTCAATTTTCTTGTATTCACTGAGACTTGCTTTGCATCTGAGTATGCGGGTCAATGTTGGAGAAAGTTCCTTGAGGTTCTGAGAGATATACTTGTTTGTGTTTGGGAGAGATATCCTGCAGTTACCTGTTCGGTCCATTAGGATCTTTGACATCAGTTATCTCCAGAATTTCTGTTTTGTTTTTGACGGATGACCCATCTATTGGCAAGAGTGGGATATTGGCTGGGTAGTGGTGGCGCACGTCTTTAGTCCCAGCACTTGGGAAGCAGAGGCAGATGGGTCTCTGTGAGTTTGAGGCCAGCAGGTTCTACAAAGTGAGTTCCAGGACAGCCAGGAAAACTACAGGGCCCATTTCCCAGAGTGCGGCAACTGATAGGAGGGAGCATCAGTTCTCTTGCCTACCACAAATGACAAGGGAGGCAATGTAGCACGAATCTTAAAAGGTCTTATTAACAAAAACAAACCTAGAGCCAGGTATTGGGGTGAATGCTGAAAGGCCAGAGAAACAGAACGAGCCACAGCCAATCTCACCTCAGCTGATCCTGTTTACTCAGACTGAAAGCCTCTGAGTCCTCATCCAAATGGATCTCAGCTGAACGGCTGCTAAAAGCCTAAAAGCTTAAACAGGCTAAAAAACTTCTGGTTTCTGGTCCTCATGCCTTATATACCTTTCTACTTCCTGCTATCACTTCCTGGGATTAAAGGCATGTGTCGCCATGCCTGGCTGTTTCCAGTGTGGCTTTGAACTCACAGAGATCCAGAGGGATCTCTGCCTCTGGAATGCTAGGATTAAAGGTGTGTGTGCCACCATTCTCTGCCCTCTATATCTAGTGACTGTTCTGTTCTCTGACCCCAGATAAGTTTACCAGGGTGCACAATATTTTGGGGAACACAATATCACCACAAGGCAATGCCAGCTAAGCTCCTCTCACACACTTGTAGCTGGCTCACCTGCACCCCTGTCTACAGGGTTAAATCTACTGTGCTACCCAGGCGAGGCACAGAGCCTGTTCTCCCGAGTGCTGCAGCTGGTGAGTGGTTGGGTCAGGTCCCACACCAGCTGCAGGTGGAGAGGGGTAAGGGAAGCATGGCATCTTTCCCTCATCCACGCTATCACATGGCATATGACCTGTTCTTCCATTTTCACATCCTCAGGGCCAGCTCACCCATGTCACTGCAAACAGGACAAGCTCTATTGTGCTGCCCAGATGAGGTGTAGGACCCTCTCTCCTGAGTGCTTCAGATCAGGGACAAGACCAGTTCTCCCTAGTGTTGCAGCCTGTGAGGGCAGGGCCCACTCTATACAGCCCTATCCTCTTGGCCTTTGGTGGTATAAGGAGTCATGGACATACATCAACAGAGACCGAAGCTGCATCAGAGCCATGAACGCAGACCTGGGCCCCAGCAGTAGCCCATGCCCAGACATCACCATGGCCCTGGGCGGTGATGGTGATGAAGCCACTTACCTTCTCCCACCCTTCACTTCCTTTGTTTCTTCAGATCTGCCTCTCTCCACAGGACATGAACCATTCTCTCTCTCTCTCTCTCTCTCTCTCTCTCTCTCTCTCTCTCTCTCTCTCTGGTATCACACTGTACATTTGCTCACCATAGTAGTGCCCATCTGCTTGGTGTCAGTGGGCCTGGCCATGTTTTCTTTTAGGGGGATGGGGGGACCGCCCCAGGCTTGTGTGGGTCTCCTTGTCCGGCTCAGTGCATCCTGGCACTGGGCAGGATCTTGCTTCCTCATAACAAAGATCATAATAGTGTGCAACTGCACAGCCAACTCCTGGTTGGTGTGGAGATGTTGCTGGAGCCCTCTCATGGGCCTGGACTAGAAAGCCTGGGCTGTGCCTTTGCTTGAGTTCTGCCTGCCCCAGCTGCATGGTGTGACGGGGAGCTGTTGCTGGAGTCCTCTTGCCATAAAATGAATTCTTAATTCTAATAAGTTACATATTTCTAGATACAATGCCTCATGTGACTAACAATAGTTTTATTTTAGCTATAGTTCATTTATTTATTCATTGGCAATTATCCTGGCTATCATATATAGTAGCATGTTTAATAGCGGTCATTGAGAAGGTTGCAACAATTTCTTAAATATCTCATCAGCTTTTTAAAAAAGTTTCAAGTAATTCACCAGTAGATAAGATATTTAGTGATAGGTTTTTTTTTTGTTTTTTTTTGTTGTTGTTGTTTTTGTTATAATTTTGTCTGGTAAAAACTTATTATGTAAGTAAAACCCTCTTCCTTGGAGGCTGAATTTTCTTGATTAGGTGTTTGCAGAGCTGGAAACATTTTGTAGCTATTGACTGTGACTTTCTTAAATATTGTTCTATTGCAAATACCAAAACCATAAAGCATTTAATCATGATACTGAATTATTTTTCAATTAAAGCTACTCAACGTTGCTTTTCTAACATTTACATATATACTCATGGGTGCTGAGTACCTTCACTTTTTCTCAGTGTTAAATGGCCATGTCAAATTTGGAATTAAATCAGCTCAAGACTTGGGGCTAAAGAGATGACACAGAAGTAAAAAAGAATGCTCTGGTAGGGGACCCAAGCTGGGTTTCCAACTACCCATGTCGAGTAACTCCAACTCCATAAGAGCTGATGCCCTCTTCTGGCCCAACAGGCGGTCATTTGCTGTGAATACCACCTGTCTTCACTGGGGTTTCTATTGCTGCGAAGAGACACCACGACCACAGCAACTCTTATAAAGGAAAATATATAACTGGGGCTGGCTTACAGTTGAGTGGTTTAGTCCATTGTCATCATGGTGGGAAGTGTGATGACATCCAGGAAAATGGGGCTGGAGAAGTAGTTGATAGTTCTACATCCAGATCAGCAGGCAGCAGGAAGAGAGAGACACTGGGCCTGGCTAGAACATTTGAAATCCAAGGCCCACACCCAGTGACACACTTCCTCCAACAAGACCACACCTACTCCAACAAGAGCACACTTAATAGTGACAGTCCCTATGAACTTATGGGGGCAACTTTCATTCAAACTATGACACCACCCTTTCATATACACTTTATTTATTCATATATGTATTTATTCATTTATGGTTTTTTTGGGACAGGACCTGATTCAGTTCCAAGTACTCCCATGGTGACTCAAGAACTCCAGTTGTTTCAGGGAATCTGACACCCTCTTCGCACCTTGTCAGGCACCAGGCACACAAATGGTACACATACATCCATGGAGACAACTCAGTCAGACACATAAAATACACTTCTAATTATTGTTTTGACTTATGTAACCCTGACCCTGGAATTTGTTTTGTAGATCAGGAGGGCCTTGAACTCAGAGATCCACCTGCTTCTGCCTCAGGAGTGCTTGACTAAAGGCATGGGCTATCATGCCTGGCATAAATAAATCCTTTATAAGAAAAAAAATATTTCTTTTGTACAATTAGAAATACATTTCCATCACAGTAAGCTTGTAATTGTATGTCTTTGTACATTGCACCACAATTATTCTGTATCTGATATTAACAACCTGCAGGGTCCATCTTGTAGCTTTAATCAATGCATTTTGGGGCATTTACATCAAACAGTGATGATGCATTAATATTACAGACTTGTTCTGGTGTGAACTTTTCATTAATATTAAACCTGAAAAAAAATCAATGGATTTCTCCACTGTTACGTGCTCAACAAACACTTTTTCACTACAAATATCTGTATTTTAATATGTCCTAACTTGTCTCTGCAAGTTTGTTTAACAGTCAATTCTTTTGTTTTCAATTCATTGTGATCTTTGCTTGTTGTATGATCAACATACCACTAACTGATACAGGTTCACTGACATGCTAATCTGTTCACTCTTGGAATACAAAATTGAGACCTTCATTTTTTTTCTTTCACATGATTTTTCTATTTATCATTATGTTCTGTCTACCACTTTTGGCATAAGACTTCAACAATGTATCCTTTTATTTTTCAGGTCATTTAGAGTGGTCTTTCAACACTGTGCTGGCTGATTTGTGTCAATTTGACACAAAATGTAGTCATCTGAGAGGAGAAAACTTGGACTGGGAAAATGCCTCCATAAGATCCACTATAGGCAAGCCTGCAGGGCCTTTTCTTAATTAGTGATTGATAGGGGATGGTTCAGTCCATTGTGAGTGGTGCAGCCCCAGGGCTGGTGTTTCTGGGTTCCATAATAAAGCAGATTGAGCAAACCAGTAATCAGCACCCCTCCATGGTCTCTGCATCAGTTCCTGCCTCCAGATTGCTGCCCTGCTTGAGTTCCTGTCCTGGCTTCCTTCTGTGATGGACTACAACACGGAAGTATAAACCAAATAAATCCTTTCCTTCCCAACTTGTTTTTTGGTCATGGTGTTTCATCACAGAAATAGTAACCTTAACCAGAACAAATACCATGCTCCTCTGCAAGATATTCCACACTAAAATTTCTCATCAGTTTATCCAACTGTTTGATTTTCTGTGTTATAGATAAAAATGTATCTGTCCTCAATTAAAAATGTTTAAATTTTGTGTGTAGTGCATATGTATATATAGGTATGTTTGCCCATGATAGAATATATGTATTCAAGATGCTGTCTTCAGAATATGTTCTTTCAATTGTTTTCCCATTTCATCTTTTGAGACACAGTCCATTAGTGAACTTGGAATTACCTTTGACTGGACTGGATGGACTGTGACACCAGGCTTTTAAGATCAGAATTCCACAGGTCACACTTGTCAGGGAAGCAGGGAGCCTCCCTGGGAATCTTTACCTCCTCCCCCTTTCCCCTAAATCTAATTCCCTAGTCACATCCCCAACTCTGTAGCAGACTACCTGCTGTGGCTTCCCTCATCTGTCTCTGTCTCCAGGGGATGAAAGGGATCATCTTCTTCAACCTTCCTTTCTGCTCATCCTGTTCTCTCAGCCCCCAAATCCAGGAGGCATTCCCTGGGTACCAGTCATCCATGTCTGCCAAGGAAGCAAGAAGGACAGCACAGAAGGCAGCGAGGGTTCAAAATATTCATGCTCCCTCCTCTCCTCCATATTCAATTCCCCAGTGTCATTTCCAGCTCTTTAGCAGATTAACTGTTGTAGTCTCTCCTCACTCAATGCCCCCAAAACGGACTATGCAGATCCTGGTGAAATCCCTGCTTGTTTGCTTCCATCGGATTCCCTAAGCTCCCATTCCTAGCCCATACCCTTTTTAAGTAATAGCCTCTAATACCTTGGAGCACATTTCACTAGGGACCACCAGTAGCCCACCTAGCAAGATCCCAAAAGAATTACCTGCCAGGCAACACACAGCCAACACACCCTCCTAAGAATGGAAGGGTAACAGAACCCAAACAATGAAACTCTTACCCCAGAAAGGCAAGACTAGATATCCACATCTGGAATTACAGTCTTCCCAAACCCAGATGCACAGAAAATAGCATAAAAACATAATTGCTGTGGGATGTTTTGTATGCTGTGAATATGCGTTGCTCTGATTCGTTGATAAATGAAAAGCTGATTGGCCATTAGCCAGGCAGGAAGTATAGGTGGGGTAAACAGACAAGGAGAATTGTAGGAAGAGGAAGGCTGAGTCAGGAGACACCAGCCCGCCACAAACCCTTTGCCCTACCATGGGGTCCTGCCTGCAAGATATGCTAGTGCAACAGTGGCACAGAGTCTGGTTTGACTTAAGGTCCACTCCACTCCACAAGACAGAACCCATCCCCATCCCCAACCCCACTTGAATGACCAAGATCCTGACTCTAAACAGTCCAGTGAATTAGGATAAAACCAAATACTACTGGTCTAAACGAACAAACAAAAAATAGCAATAAAATGTCTCCTAGTAACACTCTGCAATACGCATATACTCATAGATCAGATTAGTGCCTTGCTCGGCCATCACAGAGAGACTTCTTCCTGCAGCGGGTGGGAACAAATACAGAAGCACAGCCAGACACTGTGCAGAGAATGGGAGCCCTTAAAATACTCAGCCTTATCAAATCCCTTCCCTGGGGCTCGGGGAACCTGATGGAAGAGGAGAAGAAAGGGTGCCCTTTGCATGTATATTATGGCCTCCAGTTTAATGTTTTTATGGAATTCCTGAGTGTGGGAATGAGTGGGTTTCTGATTTTATATCCGTTTTATGTGTCTTTTCTTGTTTGTCTTGTCCTATTGCGATGTATTAGTTTTTGTTTTATATTTTATCATTATCCTGTAGAAGTCTGTCTATTTTTGTAAGTGAGACAGAAAGGGAGTGGCTATGTTGGGAGGCAAGGTAGGGGGAACTGGGAGCTATGGAGGTAAGGGAACCAGAGTCAGGATATACTATATGAGAAAAAAATGAGCTATTTTCAATAAAAGGAAAAATAAAAGATGATGCCCAAACTTTTTGCAAGAGCACCAAACAAAACTAAAACAAGAAGATCTTTTACAGCTTAGTTGTGCATGATCCAAGGACCTAAAATGCTGACCACTTAAATCTAAAAACTAACCTAAGGCAATGGATCAGAGTGTGTTGTTTCATACTGGTGAAGATGATATGGATATGCATCTGAGGATGCAAAAAGGAAAGTGTGGTGATATATTGTGTACCCTAATAAACTTGTCTGAGGATCAGAGGACAGAGCCAGTCACTAGATTAGACATAGAGGTCAGGCAGTGGTGGCACACACCCTTAATCCTATCAGTCAGGAGACAGAGATCTGTCTGAATCTCTGTGAGTTCAAGGTCACACTAGAAACAGAGCAATCCCAGGACTGGGGAGCACACACACCTTTAATCCCAGGAAGTGATGTCTGGGTAGAGAAAAGTATATAAGGCGCGAGGAAACAGGAACTCACTCTCTTTAGACTGAGGATTTCATAGAGGTAAGAACTAGTGGCTGGCTGTTCTGTTTCTCTGATCTTTCAGTTTTTACCCCAATATCTGGCTCCGTGTTTTTTATTAAAAGACCTTTTAAGATTCATGTTACAGGAAGGCGATTCTATTGAGTTACTACAGACAAGTGGAATCTTGAGCAAAAGTGAGAAAAGGCTAAGTTAATGTCTATTAAGCTTGGCTGATTCTCTGGGCTTTATATGTTGCCAAGGACAATTATAAGAGCCATGCCATATTGCCTGCCTGAGTTAAGTTTCTATGTCCAGTATTGAGCCACTAACCAGAAACTTTTGACATGCCTGGACAAGTCCTGAGTTATTAGAAAATAACTTAACATTTCCTTATCTTTCTGCTACAGTGACCATTAGTAACAATGTTTTGTGGTTGGGTTGCTTGGTTGGGTTGCTTGGCAACTCAACAATCCCCTGATCTTTTCCCAAAGAAAGTTTCTTGGTCTTCTTACTATAAAACCCACCTGAGAAAAATAAAATTTTGCAGCTTGATCAGAATACTGTCTTGCTGTCAATTCTTTGTGTCTCTTGTCGCTTTCATTCACCATTCCCCCTTCTAGGGTCTCTACTGAAGATTCTGCTGGCCAGGACAATATGTCCTACCCTTCTGAACCAGGGAGATGTCCCTGCAGTCTGTTATGGTTGAAACCCCACTCTGTCCAGGTCTCTGTTTCTTTAACTGTTGAGCTTGAATGCCTGCTGCTGCTAATTACTGGCTGTGTCCACACCTGGCCCTGCAGGGGTCCCCTGCTGTCAATCACACTAGTTTATCTTTTTTTCTCATGTTTACAGGACAAGCTCGTAGTTTTACCATGGCAGAGAATGAACTCTATCACCACTATCAAGATGTATCTGCATGTGTTCCTGGTTACTTCCTGTTTTGCACCTTGTCTATGGGTGGTCTGGAGTGGTTTGCTAGGTGAAACCCTCTGTTTCAAAGTCACCCTTAAAACTGAATCTGCTACAGTTAGCAGTATGAAAAAGCAAGGATACATGAAAAGGCAAGAGTGCCTTACACATGTTCCTTGGAAGCTTTGTGGAACGTAGGGTGAATGGCAGCCAGCGGGCCAGCACTGACGTAGTTGCCTGCCCATCTTCTGTTTTCAACTCCTATTATCTTTGGTTTTCTAGACTTTTCCCTGTTATAATGAGTATAATAAAATATATCTTTTAGACATACAGAAATTTTTTAGTTAGCAATCCCACTATACTCAATAACTGATAACAACAATCCGGTTACATCACTTGCTCAAGATAACCAGACCTGCATACAGCTGTGTAAGAACTCCCAAACACCTGCTTGACAGTATATAAGCAGAGACAAAGAGCAATACGTCACTCTTCGTCTCTTCAGGATTGCTGGAGACATCCGAGAGAGGCTGTCTTGATCTCCCTGCAGCTGGAAAGTCTCCCCTGGTATCCTGACCTTCACATTGGAGCCTACCCTTAGAAACTGGACCTCACCTTTAGCTAAAATAAGTTGCACAGGTGAGCAGTCTTGGGATGACAGCTTAGAACTGTATTTAGAATCAGAGTATGAACCTTGTATTTTATCTCTCAGAGTAATAAAACTATTCTTTCAATTCCAGCCTGTGTTCTCACTGCACCATGTGAGCAACTTACAGTTTTCATCTTCTACTCTTTTCCCTTACTGTCTACAGAGGACAGCCTCCTCAATCACCAGCAAGCCTAATCTATCCACATGCCTCTGTACCCTAGTTCTGGAGTTACAGACACTGGTGTTACAGAAACTGGTGCCGTGACCAGTTTTTATGTAGATTCTGAGGATTGAGACCAGGTCCTTATGATTGTGCAACAATTACTTAACTCACTGAGCCACCTCCCCAGGCCACTTCATTTGATCACTGTTATCTACTTCAGTTTCTAAAAGTCTTTGGAGCATTTTCATCAATGTATTTACACTATGGAGTGAAACACTAAACAAACAAACCAAACTAGAAACAAAAAAAAAATATGGAAGGCAGGTAAGTTTGGCCTTCTGGGAAATATCTTGAATCTTGAATAGCCATTGGTATCTCTAGCTTGCATAGAGATCACCTCATTACCCTTTGTTGGTGTGCTTGCCACAGGCATTTGTCTTCCCATAGAGAAGGTATATTAGAGCGTGAGAGACCCAGAATAAGCATTTCTCTTGGTGATGCTGAATAAAATGTGAATTGTATACCTGGATCTTGAATGAAACCCATCACAGGGAGTTTGGTGTTGAAATTTTGCATCAGTGTTCAAAAGTTTCAAATTGTGTTGCATTTCAACTATTGGATTTCAGATTAAGGATATTTAACCTATATGAATTTTGACATGTGTAGCTCATTTTAAAATTATGTTTCTCACATATTTTTGTGTTTTTCATATACACCTGTGTGT